GAGGCCTCTAATGAGAGCAGTCTGACCAAGTTCTGAGTAATGGGAAGATCAGTTTGAGGATTGGTCAGGTTTTGTATACACATACACCACACACACACACACACACACACACACACACACACACACACAAACTTTTTTTTTTTCTTTAGTTTTTGCCATGGGGAGTGTGTGCTCACCAGAGAGGGAGGGAAAATGAGAAATCACCTCCGAGTGGAGATGGCCATGCCACACTCCCTTCTTCTCTATTCTCCTTTTGGGATTTTGGGCACACATGCATTTGTGCCCAGCATAATTTTCAAGCCACCAAGTCTGAGACTCAAATCATGGTCAGCCATGTGGGATTCCAACACCTTAACTAGCATCCCACATGCAAGCCCTTTTTTTATTTTATGTATTTTTAATTTACTTTTAATCAGTGTACATCTGTCCAGCATACAAAATGGTTTATCTGAGCATGAATAAAGTGTATATTAGTCTAGTCAAGGGTATTATGATATAATCATTACCAGATAACTTTTTATTTTTGTGTTTTTTAAATGTTTTTATTTAAGATAGGATATGTTCTCCTATATTTCTGTATCTATAAGGTCCAGACCAAGGGAATGTTTGCAGGTTTTAGCTTGCAACCACAGTTCATGAAGTATATATACTCTAGTTTCTTCACATAAATATTTCTTCACATAAATATTCACATAAAAATATTTAATTATTGGGAACCAGCAGTTAGCATAATGGCTATGTCACTGGACTCCCACGTAGTCGACCGTGGTTTGCGTCCCGGACCCGGTGGCTTAGAACTCACGCTGAGTGCATGTGCGTGTGTGCCCAAGATCCCAAGAGGAGAATGGAGGAGAAGGGATTGTGGCATGACCATCCCCCCTGGGAGGTGATTTCTCACTTTCTGTCTCTATGTCTCTCTGTCTGGTGAGTGCACGTGCCCTATAGCGAAAACCTCTCAAAAAAATTTAATTATTAAGTGAAAAGGGCTTACTAAAGATATTTACTTTATAATTATTTCATTACCTATGAATCCAAATACACTTGCGGGTTTGTTAGCCATTTACTCTCCTTTTTGAACAAAAGAAACCAGGAATGGGTACTTGAAGGAATCAGGATACATACTCAGGATAAAGAAATTGACTCCGATTATTGGAAGGAATGACTTGCACCTGCTTGTATCTTGTACCCTGTAAATACCAAGATGATGCTGACCTTTTCAGGACAATCTAGTGGTACTTGCTGTCTCCTCATAACCAGTTACAGAAATAAACTCCCTTCTTCTCCAGTCTCTGTCTCTCCTTAGTTAACTGGGAACACTAGAAGGCTAGACCTGTGCAACACAGGCTAAAGCATGGGGAAGGAGTAGTAAAAATGGGATTCATCTGACTTTTAACCCTGTTTCTTGGGAACAGACCACCTACAAGGAAAGTTTTCTTTCCATCTAGACCAGCGTCCACAGGGAAATCATGTGCTTAGAGGTCAGAGTAACGGTGAGGGAGATGAGCTTAATGAGCAGGTGGAGGGAGCTGTACATATCTCCTCTGCTGTTGCCCTTCAGAGTGCACAACTTGGGCAAGAAGAAACATGGTTGTTTGTTTTGGATGCCGGAGTCTGGCTCAGGTACTGATGCTTGACTCTTCCTCGCTGTCTTGTCTGAGACACAGCTTCGATCTCCATCACAGACCTCCTACCTACAAAGGAATTTGGACGTCAACCAGAGGCTATCCTCTCAGAGACCCCACACAGGTGAGTCTAGGAGCACAGCAGACACAGGCCGAGAATGATGGAAGCCCAGAATGTTTACCCAAATTGAACTAAAAGTTAATCCCACCTAGTCCACATCTGAAGAGAGGACTGTGGTTGCTTCCTTAATCAATATATTTACTCAGGATGCTAAATAGAAAAGGCACATTGTACTAAGGAAGGCAGGGGTAATTGGTGACAATGGAATGATGGTAATAAAAGTCCAATTGATGAAAATGTGTTTGGTAATATCTTTGACTGGACTCATATGTGGTGTATTTATGCTGAGAAAATTTATTCTGTATGCTGTGAAGATGTACAGAGATAAAATGTAAAAAAAAAATAAGAAAGATAAATAAAATTTTAAAAATAATGGAACCAGCAAACTGCATGATGGTTATGTTGCTGGACTCCCAGTTAGTCGACCTTGATTTGAGTTCTGGACCCAGTGACTTAAAACTCATGATGGACACGTGTGTGTATATGCCCAAAATTTTGAGAAGAGAATGGAGGAGAAGTGATTGCAGTGTGGCCATCCCTCTTTGGGTATAATTTCTCACTTTCTGTATCTCTGTCTCTCTCTGTTGCTCTGGCTAGCACAAGCACTCTATAGTAAAAATAAAAAAATCTCTCTTAAAAAGAATAAATAAAAATAATACTAGCATCTTTAAAGAAAAGAAAAAGAAGGGGAAATGGAAGTGTCAAGTACTTCCAGTAAAACTAAGTCCAAGATATTTTGAAAGAAAGTGGAATGAAGAAATGGAGTATTAGGTATGAATGGATATGCAGTGTAATGAGGCTATTTCTTTTTGTTTAAACAAAATTTTTGCTATAGGGAGTGTACACTCACTGGAGAGACAGAGACAGAGAGTGAGAAATGATCCCTGAGAGGGGGAAAGGCACACTGCAATTTCTTGTCCTCTATTCTCCTCTCTGGATTTTGGGCACACAACACACATACATGTACCTGGCATGAGTTTCAAGCTGCCAGGTCTAGGACTCCCACATGGTTGACTGCAGTTCGAGTCCACCAAACCATATGCTTGCCCGAGGCTGTATTATTTTCATTCGTAAGGTAGGTCTATACTCCTTTGTTTCTAAATTGATAAGAAAGATCCAGTCCAAGGGTATATTTGCAAATATAACCTCACAACAGAAGCTCATGAATAATTCATTCTATAGCACCTTCTCTTACACTGGATATTCACATAAAAAGTATTTAATTAATTAGTAAGTGAAAAGGGACATATTAAAGAGAGCTTTAATTTGTAATTATTTCATTACCTGTGAGACTGAATACACGTGTGGGTTTGTTAGCTATTTATTTTCCTTTTTGCAAACTCCCGGTGCAATCCTTTGCTTTTGACAGTGGTTTCAGCATGCTTTTAGTTCCATTTTTGATTGCATCCTTTTGTACAAGATACTGACATTTTGTCCCATCAACTTGGCTGTTGTAATTTAGCTCTGGTGTGTATGTATGTATAGAAGGACTTGGGTGAGAATATGTGAAAGTTGTACATTTTGCAGGTCCAAGTCTGTTAGATAGTAATATTTTGTTCCATTCCCAGCCCCCCAATTGTTTTTTTAAATGTACAAAGTTTTTCTGTATCCTTAGTTTTCATATCTCTGTTATTCCTTATTGTGCCTTTTGGCTTCCTGTGGTTAAATTGCATGTGTGTGTGTGTGTGTGTGTGTGTGTGTGTGTGTGTGACAAAAAGCGAGAGAGAGATAGGGTGTGTGAGCTCACCACAGAGATAGAGAGAAAGAGAGACAAAGAGGGAAAGTGAGAAAGCAACTCCTCAAAAAAGGGATGGTCACACCACAATCCCTTCTCATCCATTCTCTTCATGGGATTTTGGGCACACATAAATACATGCCCATCATGTTTTTGAAGCCACCAGTCCAGTACTCGAACCAGAGTTGGCAAGTGGGATCTAGCCATCCCCAGCTACCATGCCTGACTGACTCAGATCATTTTTCAAAACTCACTTCACCTTTTGGGGCCAGCAGTTGGTATAATGGCTATGTCGCTGGACTCCCATGTAGTCAACTGTGGTTCAAGTCCTGGACTTGGTGGCTTAAACTCACGCCAGTGTGTGTGTATACATGCCCAAGATCCCAAGAGAAAAATGGAGGAGAAGGGATTGTGGGGTGACCATCCCCCCTGAGGAGTGATTTCTAGCTTTCTATTTCTCTGTTTCTCTCTGTCTTTCTGGTGAGCATGCGTGCCCTATAGCAAAAACTTCTCCAAAAACAAACAAAAACTCACTTCACCTTCTGACATTGTTTTAAAATACATTATGCTTTACCATTTTACTAAAGATTACTTTTATCTTCCATAGGTACATCTGGATATGTACATATACACATATGTATATCTTTTATAACATTTTATTATTTTAAAATATATTTCAATATCTTTATGTAAAATGAAATTCTATCTGTATACTCTTGCTTCCTGAATTTTAAGACTTCTTGTTATATTCTTTTATTTCCAAGTCTTTGGCAATTTAATGTTGAATCAATGACGTATGTTGATGGCATTAAGTTAATACTATTTGATATCTTTTTTCCAGAAGTAAGATTTAAACTCAATTTTATTCAATTTCATATAGTTGCATTGAAATCCTTATAATTAACCTAATTACCTTCTACTTATCATTCCTTTTCATAAGTTTTTATGCTCTTATAAGTTTTCTGTCTATCATATGCAAACATTCATATTAATACACATTTTATGCAACAGCATGAATAAAATCCTATGCACCTTATAAATGCCCTTTGTATTTTTACTTTTTATCTTAGTATTTTTAATTGACAGGTAATAGTTGTATCGTTAGGGATTTTCTGATCTACTTCCAATGAGCTTAATAACTTCCTTATCTTTTCAAGCTTTCAACTGTTTTTTAAAATTGATTCTATAGACAATTTTATTACCTGTGAGAACATAAATTATCTCACAGATTATATATGAATAGGAAAAATATGAAAGTACTTCAAAACATTTGTGGAAAATGGAATTACAATATGAGTTTATTTGGGGATGATATTTTTTTAAAAATCTATGCATAGATTTTCTTAACACACTTTACATGAACTTTTTGAAGATTGCCCCCCATAGATTAGAAATAGATTAATTTGGAAATGTAATAATACCAATCAATAATTATTATAACATTTCAATAATGTTGGTAATATCTGTTTGCATAAAAAGTACTCATGTTATTTTTCTCATTCTTGATAGTACTATTTACCACATGGAACTAGGGAATGACACACAAATTTCAGAATTCCTTCTTCTGGGATTTTCAGAGGAACTAGAATTGCAGCCCCTCATATTTGGGCTTTTCCTCTCCATGTACCTGATCACAGTGATTGGAAACCTGCTCATCATCCTGGCCACCATCTCAGACTCCCACCTGCACACACCCATGTACTTCTTCCTCTCCAACCTCTCCTTTGTGGATATCTGTTTCACCTCCACAACCATCCCAAAGATGCTGGTGAACATCCAGACACAGAGCAAAGTCATCACCTATGCAGGCTGCATCACCCAGATGTTCTTTTTTACACTTTTTGCAGGGCTGGATGCCTTTCTGTTGACTGTGATGGCCTATGACCGGTATGTAGCCATCTGTCACCCCCTGAACTACATGGTTATCATGAACTCCCAGCTCTGTGTGTTGCTGGTCCTTACCACCTGGATCATGAGTGTCTTGCATTCTTTGTTACATAGCTTAATGATGTCACAGCTTTCCTTCTGTACAGATCAGGAAATCCCCCACTTTTTCTGTGAATTCAATCAGGTGGTCCACCTTGCCTGTTCTGATACTTTTCTAAATGACATGGTAATGTATTTTGCATCATGCCTACTGGGTGGTGGAACCTTTTCTGGTATCCTTTATTCTTATTCTAAGATAGTTTCCTCTATATGTAAAATCTCAGTCGCTCAGGGGAAGTATAAAGCCTTTTCCACCTGTGTCTCTCACCTCTCAGTTGTCTTCTTATTTTATTGTACAAGCATGGGTGTGTACCTTAGTGCTGGTGCTACACACAGCTCACACTCAAGTGCAACAGCCTCAGTGATGTACACTGTGGTCACCCCCATGCTGAACCCCTTCATCTACAGTCTGAGGAATAAAGACATAAAAAGGGCCCTGAAACAATTAATTTCAAGAAAGCAGTAATCAGACCACTTTTCAAGGGTACAAAGGATTACAGGGATATAGCTCTCAGACTCAGAAATTGCAGTTCTTCAGTCAGATTGTAGAAGCAGAATTTCATCCACCTCTTTTGTTCCAATCTATTCAGTCTCAAGTTTTTATAAAATTTAGGTTGTTCTTTTTATAAAGTATTCTGCTCTCTCTGAAGCCAACTTTTCTTTTCCCTTTGTCATTTACCTACTTTCCATATTTATTGTCAAAGTAAGATCAGAGGCAATTGGACATTCCTTTCTCTTACAGGTCTCAACTTTTATCCAAAAATCCAAAATCTAAAGTGTTCCAAACTCTAAAATTTTCTAAGCAAAGGTATAAAATTTTATACTTGACCTCATAATAGGTCACAATCAAAACCCTGTAATGTGGAGCCAACACAAGGTGGTTAGGGCGCTGACTTCCATATGGCCAACTGCGGTTCAAATCCCAGACCTGGTACCTAGAAACTCACACCAGGTGCTCGTGTGTGTTTGCTCAAAATCCCAGAAGGAAATGGAGAGAGGATTGCATTGTGGCCTTCTCCCCTGGTGGATGATTTTCACTTTCCCTCTTTCTGTCTCTCTGGTAAGCACATGCATCATATGGCAAAACAAACAAACAAACAAACAAAAAACCTGTAAATAAATAAATAAATAAAAATAAATTTCCCATGCAAAAGATTGTAGAAAATTACCTTTGGGCTATGTATAGAGCTGTATATAAAACATTAATGATTTTTTTGTTTAGACTTGAGTCCCATCCAATAGACGTATCATTATGCAATGCTCGTGTTCAAAAATTGAAAAAAAAATCTGAAATCTAAAACATTTCTGTTAAAAAAGCATTTTAGGGTAGAGAAACTCAATGTGTATTATGGTATATTTATTATTTATTAAATTAGACTCGACAATGATAAAGTCATGAATATAATTTCACTGTGCATCAATATCTGAAACCACGGTTTTTCACTTCTGTGTCTACCATTTCCTTCTCCATCAGTGCCTTAATTGCTCCTTCTGAGAATGTGGACTTTCACTTAGTCAAATGTGTTTTGGCTGATCTTGGCATCTTACTTTCCTAAAATAAATCCTATGCTTTCAGTCAGCAATGTGTCCAAAGTGCCTACTACATTCCCTGGCAAAGAATGGAAGACCAAAAGTTGTTTAACAGGGGCCTATAGGTGGCATAGTAGTTAAGGCATTGGACTCCCACATGGCCAACTGCAGTTCAAATCCCAGACCTAGTTTCTTGCTTTCTCATTTTCTCTCTCTTTCTCTCCCTCTGTCTCTCTCTGGTTAAACTTTAAAAATAAATAAATAAATAAGGAATTCTTTAAAAAGTTGCTTAAAAAAATACATGTTCCATGTGTAGTCTACACTGGAAGGCAAATCACGTAAGTCAATTGACTTAATATGGTCTCATGTCAGAGATGACCATAAATCTGATGGAGTAACATTTTCAGGCATGCATCAAATTACTACAGAAATTTTGCTTTGATGAGGCACATCTACTTAATGAAGCATGAAAGCTTGGTGTCCATGTGTAAGTTTGTTCATTGGAGTGAAGGATTTGGTGTTGCGTTCTGCATTATTTCATTGTATTGCCTTGCTGTTTTTGCTTTCATTTTGCATGGTCATCTATATATGACTTCATCTATTGTTCTAATAAATATTCTCACTTTAAAATATTTTGTAACAGAGCCATCAGGTAGCATGGAGGTTAAGGCAACTGGATCCCAGTTGGCTGACTTTATGATTCAAACCCTGGACTCAGCAGCTTGAAAATCACTCTGATGCATGCTCATGCATGCCCCAAATTCTAAGACAAAAATGGAGGAGAAGGGATTATAGCATGGCCATTACTCCTGGGAGGTGACTTCTCTCTCTTATCTCCAGAGAGTGAACGTGTCCTATAGTAAAAGAAAAAAATTATGATAAACACAAAAGTGGAGGTAAATAAACAATATGTGTATTTATATGAAAGTCAGTTTCTTTGTCCCTTTTATATTCTAAACTTTCTTCCATCTTGATGATCAAAGAATGATGCACACGAAAAGTTTCAGTATCTTGTAGTATTGCCTGTAGGAATAGAGAATTGTGATTCAGGGTCACATCTTATTACTACAAAAACATATATGTCCTGCCAACCTTTCCCAGTTACCTATAAGGGAACCCCAAAGGTAGTCTCTTTCAAATACAATTATGTGAAATAAACAGGAACATCAATGTAATCAGGATTGTTGTCCTCAAATATCAAAACAAATGCCTATAAGTAAGAGGCAGCAGACTTCTCTGAATGTCTTTAGTTTTATTTGCGTTAATAACTGTAATGGTTAGCTAAGGCTGCACAACAAGCCTACTCAATGATTAATGGTTTAATATCATGCTTTTGTACTACCCTGGAGTCAATATTGGTAAAGTCTTCTCATTGGAAATTGGGACATATGAATCATAAAGTGGACAAAATATTCAGTTCAAAAGACTATCCATATCTTAATTAGTTCTTGAATTCTGAATAGAAAGGACAATTTGAGAAGGAAAGGCCAAGAAAAGTGGTGATATCTTACAATACCTTTTACTTTACAGCTTCTTTTTAAGCATTGAATATGTCTGGCTGCTTACTTTTTGTCAACTAAATCATGTCACATGCCCAAGCTCAAAGTCAACCATTGTAGGTATATATACTTCTCCCAACCAGAGTAGCCACAAAACACAAAGCTAATGGTGGAGAAGCATACCCTTACAAAAGAGACTAAGGGAGTGAATAAATAAGTGAAAAATAAAATTGTCTAACCAAGGAAAAAACAGACACATAAACATTCTATATATCTGTCGATGTCATATGTTTATGAATGATATGCTGTAGGCTTGCAATAAAGAATTTCCTGGAAGACTTGGAGGAATAATGTAATATACCAAGAAGTACCAGCCTTTAAGATATTCCCAAAAGTGAAATATAGGACAGTTTAAAAATTCTTTCTTTTTTTTTAATTGCTAGAGAGCATGTGAGTTCAACAGAGAGAGAGATGAATGGGAGGAGAAAACATCTCTCCATGGGACATAGTGATGCCACAATTCCTTCTCCTCTGTTTCTCTATCCTGCTATAATATGAGGCACACAGTCAAATACATTCAGCATGTTTTTCAACTTTCTGGAATTGGGATTCAAATGATAGTCAACTATGTGGGATCTGTTTTCCTTAACCATTAGGCAATATGACTATCCAGAGTCTAAAAATTCTTTTAAAAAAAATAGGGCTCATGTACTCACCAGGGAGACAGAGAGAGACAGAAATACAGAAAGTGAGAAATCACCTCCCAGAGATGTCCACACAGCAATTCCTTCTCCTCTCATCTCCTCTGGGGATTTTGGGCAGGCACACACATAAGCCTAGTGTGAGTTTTAAGCAGCTGGGTCAAGGACTTAAACTGTGATTAGCCATGTGACAGTCCAAAACCATAACCATTATGCAAATTGCTGGTCCCCTGAGACTAAAAACTCTTAATATTCAAAACCAGAATAAGGGTATCAATGATGAGTACAACAAAGTATTACTGGTCAAATATTCCCAAAGGCAATTATGTTTGACTGAGAAGCATAGGTCCAAAACTTCAGCACTGGAAGCATACTGAGAGAATGGCCATCAAGGTGAAGAAGGCATGACTCCATCTTGGAGGAGCACCTCTAAGAGAAGTGAGGAATGAAGCAGGAGGACTCCATCTTGGAGAAACAGCTCCATTATGAACTGTTATATTCTTATGGCTGGAAACCTCCCCTCTCACCTTTTGTTTAAGAGTGAATAGAGTGATTAATATTCCTATTGTCCTTAAAACCCCAATTCTCCTATCCTAATCACCTTAAGGATGATTAACCTGCTTACCTGCTTTTTCTTGCTTCTGTAATGTGCTTTTGCTTTTACACTGTAAAGCCCTACCCCCTACCCTTTCAAGCCCACTGCTCTTTGTCCTTGTAAATCATCAGGTCATCCTGGACAGGATTGTGCATTTTTGGCCTATATAAGCTCCCTTCTTCTTTCACTCAAGGCTGCAGGGTTTTGAGAGACATGATTCCCCCCTGTATGCTACTGGCTTACACAATAAACTCCAAAAAATTTGACTATGGCTGGATATCCTCTTATTCCTTGCTGAGTAGACTATAACAAAGGCATCATCCCTTACTTGGCTTAAAGTGTCAGGTAGTGTAAGGTTCCACACAGCAAAACTCTCCTGAGTGCCATTTCGTATTGCTCTAAGCCTGACAAGGAACCAAGGCTGACCTGCACAATTAGTCTTGGCAAGACCCCCACTCCTAGTGCTGCTACTGCAAGATCACACTGACCCAAGAAGGAGCAGATAAAGACCAAAGCAAGGAAGGGTAGGTCTAACTTCTTAGCAATGGGTCAGAAGGAACCTCCAAATGGTTCATGTGTCCTTATTCCACTATGCCTAACTCCCCTGCATAGTCACACAGTCACACATATTTTTTTAGATGAATCTCAAAGCAGTTTAATATTTAAAAGAAGGTGGTGTATTCACAAAAGAATACATACTGTATAATTGGAAATACATAGCAAATTATTTTGGCAGTGTTGATGAAAATAAATAACCAACTGTAAAATTAATAATTAATAATTAATGCAGTTTATTTCTAAGTCAAATATGAGTGACCCAGGCCCGGAGAAGAGGCATACATGCCTTTCGCAGGGTGATCATGTACAGGGGTTCCTTTTATTTGTTTTTGAGATTGACAGACAACATTTAGTGAAGAGATTTTCCATTGGTCTGCCCCAAAAAGGCAGGACATGTAGAAGCGGGAGGGGGGGAGAGGATGCTTGTAGGTTATAGGTGGGTTCCACAATTCTTAGGTTGGTGATTGGAAGGGAAGATTTGTCTCGGGAAGAGATTAGTTAAAGAAAGGCTTAATCTACATCTCAAGGAAAAGGGAAGTTCTGTGTCTTGGGAAGAGATAAGCAAAGGAATATACTGTAATCA